CTATTTTAGTACTTGTGGGGAGACGCATGTGGTATATAGGATTAGCTTTTAGCTTCAACGATAAACATGGAGAAAAAATTGTTGAGAAGAGTGTAAGAGAATCGTAGATAACTTTTACGAAGTATTATTTGTTTTACCTAGACGGGCTTCTACTCTTCTCAATACGATTTTTTTTCCATTTAATCTTTGAAACTAAAGTTTTCTTTCTACAAAAGTGAATTTATTCAACACAGGGTAAAAAGGAAAAGTGGAAATTTAGGCTGGAATAAGCAAGTCTAACTCTTTAACTACTTAAATAATCATGAATTTTGGTACTATTATTGATAGACTTTTAAAATGTTATTTGCCAACATATTGAGATATTATTTATTTTCGCTGTCATTTAAATGAGTACCAAAATGTTATCCATATGCTTTTCCTTTTTTTAGTAAAATTTCTAGCTTATCGATTGCCTCATGCAATTGACATGTTATTGCACCATGGATTTCTATCTCTTTTTTTGGATGACCGTTGAGTCTAGGACAACTTGCGCGCACCTCGGCTATTCGGTCAGATACCTGCTGCCTCCCACCAACATAAGTATAGGGTAACTCTTCCCACCAAGGCTTAGGCAGATGGGAAGATTTCCTAGTGTTTTTTTGTCTCCACTGGGATTTGGACCCGAGACCTCATGGTTCTCCTCCCACTTCCTTGGCCACTAGGCCACGCCTTGGGTGCATTGATTTCTATCTGTTATATGAGGATGTCGTGTCTCTATATGCCACTTCTTATTGTCGTGTCTTATCTGTTTTCCGTTACGCTACCTGCTATTTATTGTTGTAATTCATGCTAATTTTACATGAGGTAATTGTGTTAAGCAAGATATGCCTTTTCACTGGGATCAACTTTTATGAATTCGTGTTCTGGATTTCACTTTCCTATAGCATGTTACATCAGCAGGTTTATCTTTCCCATATTTTGATTGGTCGTTTGTCTTCTTTCTCTTTCACCTACAAAACTCATGAAAGCGTGTGCACACCCCTCTCTTTATTGGTTTTGGGTGGGAAATTATGTCCTTCTCTTTCTGTTACGTTTAAAAATACTTTAATCATCAAATAACGTATCATAATGAAGTATCCATCTCTTGATGTTGGTGCCTTTGCAAGTTGGGTTGAATTCTGTGCAAACAATGGTTTGGGAGAGCTCTACAGAGGTCTTTAAGGTGTCAACTTTAGAAAAAAAAAAAGGAAAAAGAAAATACGCTCACAGGTGTTAAGAGTAGTTTTTGTACGGAAGCTATGTTTCTTTTCAAATGATATCCACTGGAGTGCATAAGGAGGTGTTGGAAAAATTCAAGTATTTGTTTTGGGTTGGGGAAAAGCTACCAGAGTTGTAATGGTCTTTATAAGATGAGAAACCATCCACTGTAAAATTTGTCTGTAGGACTTATTGATGAGTATTTGCAAGAAACTAACCAAACTGTTTGCTTTAAGTGTTTGCTGAAGCTCTAAGACGATGTGATCAATTGCAGGTCAATGCAGCAGGGGATCTCTGCGCTATTTGCCAGGAGAAAATGCATACGCCAATCTTGCTACGTTGTAAACACTTATTTTGCGAAGACTGTGTTTCTGAATGGTCAGTTTTCTGCATTTTGCTTCAGCCATTTGTGCTTTGACCCTCTTTGAGCATGGCTCATGCATGATGTATAACCTGTTATTAGAATGCAGTGATCTTCATTATCTCAATTGTCACCTGGTAGTTGTGAAGTAATGAGCACAAGGCATTTACATAGGATTGCAAATAACGCATGAACCATACACAAGGAATATTTGATATCCTTTCTTCAGTCTCTTCGTGCTTATTCACCTTGAGTTGGTGAATACAATTTTCCACCCCTAGAGCTAGGATTTTTTCTCTTTTCCTTGGATCCAAGCAAAATGACTCCGATTCAGTTTATCAACTAAAGTATACTGATATGATTTTTTTTTTCTTGATATGCTAAACATTGTCCCCTGAAACCCCACCTCTCCCACCAAACCCAGGAGTCCAATTGCGCTATCCCAATTTGCTCCTTTTGTGACTTGAACCCTGAACCTTACAATTGGAGATGGAGGAGGGTCTTTACCAGAGGTTGTTCTGTCTGTTCTTCCTCATCAAAGTTAGTTTGACAGGATGTTGTCTTTTATAGAATGAACTAGGGTAGCATATTCCTTGCTCTTTCTCTTGACCCATTTTTCTGCAGAGACTGCATTTTGCAAATTAATATTGTGCAATTATGCTTTCTCCTGATTCCGAAGAATTACTTGTTTCCTCTTCATCCTCTTGATGCCTAGAGAACAAGCATGGAATAGTTCATAATTGAATGAGAATCAGGAAACACATATTTCTTGTTATCTCAATGTGTTTTAAGTAATACCATCTTTCAGTTGGCTTGATGGTACTTATTTTGTGTGCCAGGTTTGAGAGGGAGAGGACGTGCCCTCTGTGCAGGGCTTTAGTTAAACCTGCCGATCTAAAATCATTTGGTGATGGTTCAACTAGTCTCTTTTTCCAGTTATTCTGAAATCTGAAGTAATAGCTGTCGTTGAGCGGGAGTCCCTTTAGAGCTGCCAACTTCACTACGAGGAGCTATAGCGGATCAGCCATCCACGGAAAGCGATATTAACACTTAGTTCAGTATCTGATCTATTGCCTCCAGAAAGTAGTAGGTGGTAAACAGTCTCTGAGGCCATTGTTTATATCTGGTTCCATAACAAGGAGTGGCTATTGTTCATACGTTTGTGAGGAGAAAATATTTGTATCGGTCCATTAATCAACAGAATTACCAAGTGTACAATGTATGAAATAGCTAAGTTGTCAGATGTATATTTCTATCCCCTAAATCAACATATCAAAAAAAAAAAAAAAAAATTCATTTCCTAAACAATGGTATGAAGAAGTTGCATTATTGTGCCCAATGATGTTCAGATTTTTAAAAGCTAGATAACTAGCTTGTGCATATGGGAAAAGCATAGTTTTGGGTGGCTCGAAGCTTATTTGGTTTGCTGGAAAGACAAGGCTCTCGACGACAATTCCAGGGTCATGTTGACAAAGAAACTTATAATAATACAACCAAATATACTGAAAGGAGGTTGTACTAGGCCAAAGGAGTTGAAGATCTGCTGGGGAGTATTGCCTTTTGATTGGTACAGCATCTTTCTTTCAAGAAATTTGTTTAAGTAAAAAAATAAAGTGTTCTTTTGACTTGAGTTATCAACATTTGTATTTGGATGATAAAATGTTATTCGAATGGGAGATCTATTTCTAGCCAAATCATTTTTATTATTACCCCTCATTCTTATTTGAGCTGATGCTGGGTTATTATCATATCCATTGCTTATAGAAAGGAAAATAAATAAAGAAAGTAAAGAGGAACATAGGCTCTCCTAAATCCGTTTGCAATCGGAGTAGAATCACTTTCCCTTACTAGGTTTAGGAATTCGTAATTCTTCAAGAAGACAAGATTAACCGATCCAGTTCCCACTCAACCAATGCAGAAACGCCCCAATAACTTGAAGTTCTTTTCCGGTTTGCAATCGGAGTAGAATCGCTTTCCCTTACTAGGTTTAGGAATCCGTAATTCTTCAAGAAGACAAGATTAAACGATCCAGTTCCCACTCAACCAATGCAGAAATGCCCCAATAACTTGAATTTCTTTTCTGGTGCACTCGCTTTATACAATAATGCGGTTGAAGCTTAATATGCCGTGGCTGGAGTCTACATCAAAATTCTTGCTATGATTTTTATTCAATGCACAAGGGAGACTAGTGTTACGAAGCGAAACCTAGAGGGAGATTTTTAAAATTATCCCTATAATTTATCACTATAGTTAGTTATATTGTTTTAGATATGGTTGAATTTAGAGAATTATATCAGCGTGCTATCTAATAATATCTCTTGTTAACATAATTATATAGTTTTCCCTAACTTTTGTTTCCTTGAGTAAGTTCGATAATTCTAAACAATATATTTCCTTATTTTAGTTTATTAGGAGTCCATGGTTTCATAGACCATTTATTTCTTAAGTTCATTGACAAGACTTTTGGCAACATAAGTAGTAGCCATTTATCTTTTGAGTCAGAGACAACAATTTTTCATTATCTTAGGGTGTGTTTGGTATGAAGGAAAATGTTTTCCTAGAAAATGTTTTCATGGAAAATGAGTGGTTTTATCACTTATTTTCTCTTGTTTGGTTGGTAAGTGGAAAACATTTTCCGGAAAATATTTTCTATTGTTTGGTTAGAGAGTAGAAAATAGTTTTTTTTAGGAAAATATTTTTTATGCAACTCTCTTCATCCCTCCCCCTCCCACCTCCCCCCACCCCTCCCCCTCCCCCTCCCCCACCCCTTCCCGAAGTCTCTAAAAATTGACACAATCTAAAGAAACTAATGTGATGCTTTACTTTTTAACGCAAAAATCGCGTATTTTTGAACCCGTAAACTTCCAAACACATAAACCTCTGAACTCATACAAAACTTTGAGCCTTTAAATTGATAAATAATAAAATTAAAAACTAAAAAATATATTTTAAATTTTTTCGGGGGGGAGGGGGTGGGGGTCGGGGCTGGGGGGGGCAGTAAAACGAAAAAAAAACAAAAATTTAAATTACAAAAAAAAAAAATTGTGCGGGGGTGGGGGTGGTGCAGAAAAATGAAAAAACAGAAATTTGAAATTGCAAAAAAAAAAAAATTTAAGGTAACGGAAAAACTGAAATTTAAAAAAAAAAAAAAAGCTTTTTTTTGGAAAGGGAGTGGGGTGGGTTGGTGAGGGTGAGAAATATTGAGAAGGAGCTTTGGAAAATGTTTTCCCTTCTTTTGATAAGGAAAACATTTTCCTCCAATGAATTAATAAGGAAAATGTTTTCCAAAACATTTAAGCCAACCAAACATGAGAAAATTGGAAAACCTTCGTACCAAACACACCCTTAAGCTCTTTTCATTTAACATCTATAAGAAAAGATGAAAAGAGTGAACAAATTGAAAGAGGCAAAGCAACAATCAAATTCAAGTAGGGAGGATTGAGCTGGCTTCTCTATGCAGAGCAGAAAAACCAAATAATACACATCCATTAATCTATGTTGCTCGGACTCTCCGAAAATGCCGTCAGACGCATGTTGGATCCTTTAAAAGTAGTATATTTTTGGAGAATCCGACACGAAAACGGCAGTGTTTTGTAGAGTCCACGCAACATTGCCGTTAATACAAGAAAAGAATGAACCAATCAAGAAAAGAAGCACCACAAATACAAGACACCTCTTTGGAAAATTCCTCTTAGTTCACCTTCATACCAACCATATCCCAAACAAAAAATGGAATAATACTTGACAAAAATTAATTATTTATGAAACCAGAAAATCAAGATTGGTAGTTCAGCAAGAGTTGATCATTTTCTTGCTAAGTCTTTCCCCTTGGAAGCTGAAGTTGAACTGTAGGAACTTGCTGAATCTTCATTGTGTTGATGATTTGGTTTTACTTGGGAACCAAGAGTTGTTTCCTTTGTGAGAGAGGAGGATCTAGATGGTGAATGCATGGATTTAGGGGATAAAGGAGGGGAAGCAGAGAGCATTCTTGAGACTGCAGGTATTGAGGAAACTTCAGTAACTTCTTCAATGCCTTCATCCAAATACACAACATCCTGCATTGTCAGTTGGTGATACTCTACAATCTCTCTTAAGATGAGATTCTCACGCGCATACACTGAATTCTCGTGTGCTAGACGAGCCTTCTCTGCTAATAGCGTCTCTAGTTGAAGCCGTATCTGAAATAATTGCAGTAAATAGGAAACAATTCAATCTTTAGAGTTGATTTAGAACAACAACATCAAGAAGATTTAGTCTGCTAAATGCCATGAACATCAAATCCCATAAGGGTAAAGGGCAGCGTGGTGCACTAAGCTCCTGCTATGCGCGGGGTTTGGGGAAGGACCAAAGTACGAGAGTCTATTGCATTTCTGCAAGAGGCTGTTTTCACGGCTCGAACTCGTGACCTCTTGGTCACATGGCATCCAATAAGGTGATTTATAGATTATATAGTGGTCAGAAATAATAGTCTGGTTTGTTGACACACTGTACCTGAAGTAGACTAGTTAGTAAAATACAAGAGAAACTTAAATCTCTACTATATTCTTGCTTTCTAATATACCATGTGTGCTAACATGTTGAATTTCACTAGTATTTTGCAAGTTTTATACTTTTTTCCCCTTAGAATGAAGGCCTACTAAGGTGAAAGCAGAACAACATTTGTAATAGTTGGTGAAAAATTACCATGTCATCATCAGCAGGGTTATCTCCCTTCTCACGAGCCTCGCGAAGTATTTTATTTTCTTCTTCTAGCTGAGAGCAACGTTGCTTCGCAAATGCAAGATCAGCTTTAACAGTCTTTAACTCTCGTAATAGTAGTTTGGCTTTTGCTGCAGTTGCCATTGCCACCTGCAACCGCAATAGACAGGCCAAAAAATGCACTTGATCACCAACAAGGAGATAGTAACAAGATTTTTCATCATAGTAAAACTATGCAAATAATATAAATCATGCTGCTACTAGTCAAAACAAAAGTACATTCGTTTTGTTGCTACAGTCACTTAAGATCTCAAATGGCCGGTTTGTTAGTGTTGAAAACTTATAAGCATTCTCAATAGCATTCAGATACTTAATACATGAACCAGAAATACATCATATATCACGCAAGTTGCCACCTTACGTCGCGAGAAGCCTTTAGTTGATCTTCATGACTAGTTGTTTGTGTTTGTGGCCGAGTCGTTTGCATCTGCCACGAGCTTCGTACACTTGACATATGATCTTGCGACGTCTCAGCAATTGTACTTCCTCCCTGAAAGTCAAGAAAAAATTATGTTGCAGCCGGGCATGTACCTGATGAGGGAAACTAGAGAAACTATAATCTTTTCTGGTGAAAATCAACTTTATCAGTCATGATCCTCTTTGTTACCGTTAGTTCACTACCTTATCCAACTAGAGTTTAAGTTGTATCGATTGATACTGTAGTACACAATCAGGTCAGTTATAAGACTTGTGCGATGGTAAGGGCTCGGATCATATACAAAAGGAATAACTGTCATCTACCACTACAGATATATAGACACTTAAATGAGGAATTGTGCATGTATTATGAGAAGAAAGGAGAGGGCAATAAATTATCACCTGGCTTTCTTTTCGGATGCTGCTGTTGGGAGCTTCATATTGATTACCATCTTCAAGAATTTCTTTCCCTTTCCTAGCTACTACTCCCCATAAACCACCTCCCTCATTTGTACTTGGAGTAAGTGATGAATAACCATTGGAAAGACCAACCTGGTTTGGTCATATAACTACCGGTTATTATTTATTAGACTGAATAAATATTCAAAAATATGTGGAATAAGAAAATACTATTGAAAAGATGTATTTTCCGGTCACTATAATTTTTGTGTGAGAAAATATAGTTACTATATGACTTTGGTTGGAAAAAAAGTATTGTTATATGATCATTTATGAAATTTACCCGCCTGATTTTGATGGCAAGTATACAAGTAATTAAATGTCAAGAATTAGAGCATATCATATTTATTCAACATGACGGAAATTGCTCTCTTCCAAAAATATGAATTTCAATACAACATCGGAAGGTAAAGATTAAATCTTTAAAATAAGGAATCAAAATCTATATACAGCAATATTTTTGCTCCAACAGTGATCAGACATAGTATATAGCAAAAAGAGAGAAGAATTGACATGCATGCAGCAAATTTGAAGAACGGAGCTTGAGAGGTATACAGCCATCTGCAAATAGGGAAACAAAGAATGTTGAGAAGCAGGAGCGGATGTAGCATTTCAGCTACGTGTTCAACTGAACCCATAACTTTCGATATGGAGTATGAATTTATTTGTAAAATTCTACTAAAATCTCAATAAGTATTAGATTTGAACCCAATGCTAAAAATCTGAACCCATTAAATTTAAAATCTGGATCCGCCTATATCGAGAAGGAGAAGAGGAGGACCTGAGATAGATCACGATGAGCGGCAATAGCCTGAGCTGCGAGAGACGAAGAAGAAGGGGAAGCACGAAAAATGCTATCTTCCTGAAATGTGGATGATCTGCTGATCCCCTGCGGCTTTGGGTCCACAGGGGAACGGAAAATGGTCTCTTCCTGGAAAGTGGATGATCTGCTCATCCCCTGCTTCCTTCTGTATGCCATTTTATTTTACTTGTTTAGGCGAATATTCAAATCAAGAAAAAGAAGTAGAACAGAAACAGCACCGCCAGAGGCAGGGCCAAGGTCGCCAGCTCCACCACCAAATTAATGTGAAGATTGGATTATGGATATTGCAGAAAAGAATGGCGGGTGATGGGGAGAGCGAATGTGCGTGAAAAAGGCCATATAACGTCTCTAACTAACTTTCCTTCTTTTAAGTTAGACACTATTAAGCATTCAGAGAATTAATTACTCTTAATTTGCTTCATTTTATAGGGTGCTACTCCCTCCGATCCATAATAAGTGACATTTTAGCCTTTTTATTTTAGTTAAAAATAAGTGTCCATTTACATAATCAGAAGTCTTGAGCCGAGGGTCTTTCGGAAACAGCCTCTTTATCCCTCGGGTAGAGGTAAGGTCCGCGTACACACTATCCTCCTCAGACCCTCACTTATGATATTTTATTGGGTTGTTGTTGTTGTTATAAAATCAAGAAGGAATTAATTTTATTTTTCCAAAATTTGTCCTTATATACATATCCCAATGAGTCAAGAATATGCAAATTTTAATTAAGGGTAATTTAGTGAATGCACCTTTTTTCTCTCTAGAGGTTCGTATTTTCTTAAGGGATGTGCCAAAGGCTAAAAAGTCACTTATTATGGACCGATGAGAGTATTATTTAGAAGTAGACAATTGAGCGGATCCAGTCGAATTTCGACGATTCAAATCAATAACCGAGTCATAATTCAAACCATCCAAAGTTTGCTTGGATCCAGATGAGTTATGTCAAGTTGGGTCAAATAACGTGTCATAATCAGACATGACCTAACCTCCTATTTTTTATTTATCGTTTTTAAAGAAAATGTGAAAGTAATATGTATGTATGTATGTATGTATGTATGTATGTATGTATGTATAATAACGGTGACAAGTGGGCCGGTCCAAACGGTACCGGGCCGGGCCCAAAATTAACGGGCCTAACAGTCCCGGGCCAAACGGTCTTTTTGTAGGAACCGGTCCGGGACTGGGCCCACGAACTCATGGTCCCGGGCTAAACGGGCCGGGCCCGCGGGCTAAGTGGGCCCAACGGCTAATTTTTTTATAAAAAAATTAAATAGAAATTAGAGACAAAAAGATGTTAAAAAAAATATCTAAGGCAATGCCTTGTAAATTTTATTATAGAATTGTGACCTAAATTTTTTAATTCAAATTTAAAGACAACAATATTATAAAGAGATATTCAAAACAATGCATTTTAATTTTATTATAGCATAAAAAAAATGGCAATATCTTTCTTAGTCTTCCTCCCCCCTATGAAATGAGCACAATAAGGTGCTAATACCACCATTGAGAAGAAAAAGAAACTAATCAAGATATGCCAAAATACAAGTTACATAATACATACTAATTTTTGTTCATACAAGTTACATGGTATCTCTTACAAACTTCATAAATCCTTCAAGGTCTGGAGGAATTTCCATTGGTGGTGGCGGAAAAGTAGCTTGGTCACCGCCGCTTACGAGCGAAGCAGCATCCTCCGCAAGTTCAGCTAGCATTTCTTCGTAAGATTCGTCTTCCTCTGGTTGTGATTCAGCAAGTCCAAAATTTCTTCTTTCCGAACGGGTCCAATCTCTGAAAAGTGCTGATTTTTCCAAGCTCTCCCTCATAGACGCTCTATAATCACCAAGTTGAAGTCTTGCTTGACTGAAAGTGCTCTCCGATGCCACTGTTGAAGCTTGAATTGTTAAAATATCTCGGGCCATCCTTGAAAGAACCGGAAAGTATTTTTCTTTGTCTTTCCACCATTGCAAAAGATTAAAGGAGCCGTCAGGATTCACTTCCTCAATTCCCTGCGATAAATAAACTTCAAGCTCATTTAGTTGTGAAAAATCATTACTACTAGAACCTTGAGAACCCCTAAACCCTATCCACGCACTAAATGCTCTTACTCCCGCAGTTCTTTTAGATGATTGAGAATCAGAAGAAGAAGGAGTTGGAACATTTGGTCTAGCATGATTTAATGCTGCTTGATAAGCATTATAAATAGTTTGAGCATTTATTCTAATTGAGGCTATTGCTTCCGGAAGTTGAGACAACTCATCATCTTCGTTTGACCAAAAAGTATAAAACCTTTTGTTAAACTAATTAAACAAGAAGATAATGGGTAAATCCTAGTTAAGCGTAATAAATTCTAGATCCGAAACGTGTTTATGCAAATAATGTGGGATTGCGTTAAAGCCTATTTAATGTGATGAATATTAAATGACATTGCTATGAATAAGAAAGGAGTAATGATAAGCAATAAATACATTAGATGGCACTAAATGTAAATAAAGAGCTTTCTCGGATCTGATGCGAGAAAGTGTGGGATCAACAACAAATAGAATCTTTATGGAAAGACAATGTGTATTTTACTTCCCAGTCAACCTTTTATGAGAGTTCTTATCATATAGAATATTACCTGCCTCTTTCTTTCTCTCTCCCTTTCTATTTTTACATGGGACATATCCCTTACCTAACATAAAGTACAAATGTGGAGAATATTCCCCTAAATATCTTGCTAAAAAACTAGCCGTTATGGTCGACCTGAGTATTCAATCTCGACCCCGCTTATTCGACTCGCCGATAGGTTCCTTCCATCTCGAGTATGACCTCGGCCTTATTGTTTCTTAGTAATCTACCTTTGAGCAAGATTCCCTTGGTCAGATTTCGACCCATACAGTTAGTCCCTCCGCCTGCCGAGGTTATTTTTTGGACAAGCTCGGTGGGCGGACTTCGCCATTTGCAACTTGAGAAATTTGGGCATGGTGGTCGAGTAGCAATATTTTTATGGTGGCATGACGATGTGGCACTTCGAGAGCCACATCTGACCGTTACGTCAGCTTGAAATGACATCATTTCATCATGCCTTGTTATGGCGCATGTTACCAATACGTTACGTCGTTTCCCGCTCCCCTTCCGTTTCGAAATCAATGTGGCGGCGCTTGGCTTTCTCGATTAGGGTGCCAGTATTCTTATAAATAGGGATGGGAATCCCCCATATGGGTTGTTGCACTTCCTAGTATCTGAATTTTCAATTCTTCCCCTCAGAGTTCTTGCATCCTTATTTCTCTCCATTTTAGCGCTTTCTGCCATTATCACCCCTTTTCTATCTGCAATTTCTTCCTATTTACGTGACAAAAATGGCTAGTGCATCTTCTAACTTTGAGGGAGCATATGATTCGGTTCCATTGATGGTGGACACACCTTCTCATGACGAAAGAGAAGCCATGGCTGCGGAAGATGAGAGTTTCCCTACTGTGGATGAGATAATTCCACGCTCAGAAAGGGCCAGGTCGGACTTCTCTAAGCGATCTAAAGATGATCCTGAGCATGTTACCTCAGAATGGATGCGGTGGTGATAAGTAGGGATTTTGACTACTTATTTGCGCTCTTTTACTTTCATTTTAGACCAAAATTGCTTAAAGGTATTCCCGAAAATTAATGAAATGTGTTTGCTTGCAGGAGTGTTGGAATATGAGCTAAAGAGCTGAAAATCAACTAAAGAAGGAGTAATTTTGGACAAGGACCAAAATGAGGCTAAAATGGCACAATGCGGACCATACAATATTGAGTGCGGCCGCAAAACCTGAAGAGAACCTCTGATAGAAATTCCTATGCAAAGTGCGGACCGCACAATTCTGGTGCGACCGCAAAAGATAAATTTCAGAGAGATGGGATTTTAAGGTCAAGAAAAAATGCGTACCGCACCATTTTTGTGCAGCCACATAATCAAGAGCGCGGCAGCACTTAGAAATGTGCTGTATGCAGAAGTCCCACAACGCCAAAGCCCAAGGTCAAGAAGTGCGGACTGCACTATAATTGTGCAGCCGCAGAAGCAAGAGTGCGGCCGCACTCATAAATGTGCGGTCCGCAGAAGTTGAAGGAGTGCGGCCGCAGAACTGGAACCTGTCAAGCCAAGTCTCAATGTGCAGAACGCACACATAATTGTGCCGCCGCACAACCTCCGCAGGGGCAATTTTGTCAGGTATTGTTAGCTTAGTATAAATAGAACTTTTTGTTATTTTTAGGTGCGGTTCTGTAAGTTGGGAGCACCTGAGCCGTTTTTATTTACTATATTGGGTAACATTGTGCTAGATTAGCTTTTAAACATTAGGTTTTCTTCCCTTAATCATCTTTTATGAATTTTATCTTAGTTTCTTCTTTAATTTCTTCATTTATCATGGGTAGCTAAATTTCTAGCTAGGGTTGTGACCCAACCCCAGTGTGGGTACTTAACGGGTGTTTGATTTAGGGCTTGTTTGTGATTGGGTTAGTGGTATTTAGCCTAGTTCTTGCTTGAATTCAAGAATTAATGGTTGCAAATATTGATTCATGCCTAATTGACTTAGTCTCTACTTGAAAAAGAGAGACTAAGTCTAGGAAAACTTGGCTAACAAGGAATTGGGGTGAATTCAAGAAATTGATAGCCCCAATTAAAGGGTTGAATCTAGAGATAGTAAGACCTGACTTGAGCATTTATCACTTGTTTTGTGCAATACCCATTTTGATAGGTTATATGTGTATCCCTGTTATGTTTTGATGATCTAACAAACTCACTATCCAGAACCAGATAAAGAACCTGTTACACATTATCAAGACTTTAAGATCACAAGGTTCCAGCTTGGGTTATGGTTCAAATCTTCAGAGTAGAAGGAATAGCTGAGGGAACATGTCCCTACTAGTTCCCGAAGAGACTGTACAAGTCAACTGCCCCAGTTGTAAAGTTGTTGCCTACACACGCTACAGTTCAGAAATAGTGCAGCAGTCAACTTTATGGGGAATGTACTTTACCTAACTTGCTCACATCATTCAAGTGATGTCACAAATGAGATATTAACATCAAGCAAAGGTAAAACAAATCACTTGCACATTAAAGAACATATCAAGCATTCTCTCAAGTTTGTGTCAATCTTGCAAGTGATTCTCAAGGGCATCAAGAACGAATAACAACATAACCAAGGACCAGTTCTATGTATTGAAGTTATTACATGTCCTTAGTTGAGTTTACCTTTGTTAAAGCACTCTACTTGTAATTACTACTTAGCTTAGTTAGAAGCATTGTGTAGGAAATCTTTGATAATCATAAACCCCTGTGTTTGTGTCTTGGCTAGAGTTAGTCGAGTTG